TTCCCAGAATGCCAGTCTGCACTGCATTCTGGTCTGCTGGGCGTTTGTGAGTGATGGATAAGCATCACTGGAAGGTGATGAGTCTGTAAAGCTTTCCCTCTTTGATTAGCAGTCCAACACCGACACAGTAACTGGTAATGATTTATCCCAATGAAAGGACAAGGCTGCTGATATTATATACAGTATATTTTTCATACTGTCAATCAATTCCATGAACAGAACAACACCAACAATGAACTGATCCTACTAACAAATACTGTATGTTCTGTGTAGCTAAAGCCTGATGTGCGACATAGACCTGTATCATTGTTCAATTATTGTTATATTTATAATATAAAAATTCATTATTTCTGTGAGTGATGTGTTCATTTTCTTTGATGACTGTAGGAACTCTCCTTTATTTTGAATCAATCCCACATCCACCATCTGGCTGATGTGACAGAAAGAAAATACTCCCAGATAAATGCACTTATTTCTGTTTGACTAACACTTGATTTAAAAAAAAAAAAAAAAACTACATTGCCCAGCTGTTTTAGGAAACCACTGAACCTACAAATGTAAGTATATATTTGGGAACATTTTTTTAACATTTACACTTCAGTAGGAACCAAAAGGCTGAGGCTGAGAGCCACAAAGGAAAAAGATTTCAGATAGTATTCAGAGACTGAATAATGCATTGTTGGTTTTGGTCTTTTCACAGGGTTTGCTGAGAGCGAGAAAAATATACACACACAGACACAAAACAAGGCTTATCCTTTAAATCTTTTTCCTTTTTGCTATTATTACAGCATACTACTACTGTAAAGATATAGTATACAGTAATACTTAATAGTAGTGTAAAGGTTCTTTCTAGAAACCTTTAGCATGTCACAGCCGAAATACTGAGGTGAGATTAATTTAAATAAAAAGGAAAACACACTTTTTATTTTTCTGAACAGTCTGTACAATGGAATATTCATGGCATCCAGTATTTCTTCTTTATATATAAAAAACATGGTCTGTTAATAGACTGGTAACCTTTTTTTTTTTGCCTGCTTTGAGGGGCAGCAACCAGACACAGTCAAACTGCACCCTGTGGCCCACAGCGGCCCCACCCTCACAGTAGGGGAGCATGAGGTGAGGCGCACACTGCAGGCTGTAAACCCAAGGAAGGCTGCTGGACCGTACGGCGTCCCTGGACGTGTGCTGAAGGACTGCACGGACCAGTTGGCTGGAGTCTTCACCAGGATCTCCAACCTGTCTCTGGCCCAGTCCACTGTCCCACCCTGCCTGAAGTCCTCCATCCTAGTTCCCCTGCCTAAGAAACCCAACATAACCAGCCTCAATGACTACCAGCCAGTTGCACTCACTCCAGTGGTGATGAAGTGTCTTGGGAAACTGGTACGAGGACTATGTCATTCCTCCCACTAACATCTGAACCACACCAGTTTGCATACAGGGTAAATAGATCCACAGAGGACGCTGTAGCCACAGCCCCCCTCGCTGTGCTGTCCCACTCGGAGCATCAGGAGAGCTATGCACAGCTGCTCTTTGTGGATTATAGCTTCACATTCAACACCATCCTCCCCTACAAACGGGTGGACAAGCTAGTGGACCTGGGAATTCCATCTTCCACCTGCACATGGATTAAGAGCTTCCTATCCGGGCGCTGCCAGAGGGTGAGAGTGAGCCCACACACATCCACAGCTCTAAGCCTCAGCACTGGTTCACCACAAGGTTATGTGCTGAGCCCCCTGCTCTACACTCTGTACACCCACGACTGCACCCCCGCCTACCACGGCAATACCGTTGTAAGATTTGCTGATGACACCACGGTGGTGGGGCTTATCTCTGGGGGGATGAGACTCCCTACAGGGATGAGGCGGAGATACTGATAGTGTGGTGGAGAGAGAACAATCTGCTCCTTAATACCTCAAAGACTAAGGAGGTCATTGTCAACTTCAGGAGGAAAAAAAACGACATCTTGCCACTGTATATCAGCGGGGACCCTGTGGAGAGGGTGCCGGTCTTGCGCTTTCTGGGAGGATCTGACCTGGGGCATGAATACCTCTGGACTGCTTAAAAGGGTCCAGCAGAGACTGTACTTCCTACAGGTGCTCAGGAAGAACAACATCTCCCAGAGACCACTGGTGTCCTTCTATCGGTGCTCCACTGAGAGCATCCTAACATACTGTATATGTGTATGGTACAGCAGCAGCACAGTGGCTCAGAGGAAAACACTCCACAGGGTCATTAATGTGGCCCAGGAGATCGCCAGCTGCCCTCTGCTCACTCTGGAAGAACTACACAGTTCCCACTGCCTCAAAAAAGCCCAAAACATCATTAAGGACACATCACACCCAGGACGTTCACTCTTTGAACTGCTGCCATCAGGTAGACGGTTTAGAGCAATCAAATCAAGGGCCACTAGATTCAGGAATAGTTTTTACCCAACAGCAGTTACCACCCTCAATGCTGCTAAAATGTAATATGCCTGTGTGTGTGTTGCGGGGGTGAGAGATCTGTTTATTTCGTTTTTTTAGTTGGTTAAGTTTTTTATATGGTCTTATTTCATATGTTTTGTTTTTTTTTCTGTTGCTGTACCGACTCTAAAATTTTGTTGTATATGTTACAATGACAGTAAAGGATTATCTTATCTTATCTTATAGGACTGGTTGCATGTTCATGATACAAACAAACAAATGCACTATGCTATACCTTACTGCAGCTGTGCTGAAAATGTCTGGAAAAACTTCATGTATATTTGGCCATTTTCACTGGATTCAAAAAATATTCTGAACCAAGGTAATATTTGATTCATAATTAATCATTTTAACTGTGTTAAATGTTGTAAAGTGGACTTCAACACGCATGGGATGTGCAGGAAAGCTGAAACACCTGATTCTAGGTCAGTGTTCAATGCTACAGGCTCATATGTGGCTCCACAAGAAGGGCTGACATCATCTTCTTTGACAAATTCAATACTGTGTGGCCCAATTTTCTGTATGGCTATTAAACCAAATGGATGAATTTATCCTAATAGCTGCAGTAACCGAGAGAATTAAACGTGTAGCTCTGAGTGTAATACCCTCTCGCTTGGCATATCTAATTATACAAATACCGTTCATTTGCAGGGTGTAGGTCTGTGCATAGTTTGCAGACTCTGGTGAAAGTCACCACATTACCACTTCCTGAAGGCATTTTTGCAGTATGTTCAGGATATTCTGAGGTTCTCAGCATTAGTGAAATAAATTTCCCAGCTTTTTATCACCAGGACAAAAAAGTTCTCTTCTTGCCCAAAGGGAAACAAGTCAAGGACAATCAGTGTCAAATAAACTGATGCAACCCAAATAAAGCTCAAAAAATCACTCTCTAAAAGGAAAATTAGGGGCAAGAATCTATTGCCTTTAAAAGCATTACCAGAAACGTCAATCCACAGCGGTGCGGGATTGCTCACTCAAACAACAATTCTTCCTTTTAAACGTGGTTTCATATTTTTTTTATCCATATCTGAGGGCACTGACTCCAAGCAGAGGAACTACTGACCTAGATAAATATTGCACATGTGAGATATGTGTGTTGTTTTGAACTACAAACAGAAGCTGAATGCTCCAAAGCTCCAGGTACTCCAGGCAGGACAACACTAAAAAGGAACTAAAAAAAGAGGTGCCATAGTTCTAGAGGAGGAACTAGAGGACAAAGTAAAACAAAAGCTTTATGTGAAATCAGAAGATTAGAAGTGTGGTCCTCCAATCATCACATAATGAGCATTAGAATTGGCTTCATCTTTAATCTCACACAAATCACATCGTAAGAAGAGTCTTTAATCTTCAGATAGACCAGTAGACCTGCCTGTTACAGTTGCTGTGCACACAAATTCTGCTCTACACTTACGTTTCATCAAACAATGTGTTTGTAATGAAAGTTTATACCAAAACTTTCCAGACTGGCTGTCTTTATACATAAGACACAATCTGAGGTGAGCACCAGAAATTTTACACTGGAATCTGCTTTGAAAGATCACTGATCCATTGTCCATATAAAAATATTCAGCAGTGATGCTTTAGTTTGAAAATAAATTAACAGCGATAATGTGTGTGTAACCACTCATAATATTCTGTGAGGTCTTACTCTAAAGAGAAAACCTCATTTGTGGACGTCAGAATGCTTTAAGTTGTGGATGAAGTGCAAATGACGGTTTCTGCTCCATCCTGGGGTAGTTCAGGTTGCATGACATGTATAATGATACCCCTCGCTGCTGTGCCTGGACTATGTTTTCAGTGCAGACACATTATAGGAAATGTAAGCATTTAACAGAATGTCACTCACAAGGTTACTGCCTCCCTCCCCTGCTTGCTGTGCATCTGCTTGGTGCTGACCAAGCTCTGAAACACAATCTACCACATAAAAACACCGCATGCTGCCATTTCCAGACAGGCTCCCTGCACTGTCACGGAATAGCCAGGGAGATATCAAAGGATCTGTGGTGCAATTGAATTGCTGGAATCTCCTTTTCTCTCCTAATGATTTCTTAAGCCACGCACCATTCTATAAATCATCAGCTTCATCCCTACTTTGACTTAAGTCTTATCCTTAATAGAGTTAACCTCGCTCATATCTGAGGTGTTGGCATATTCATTAACCACAGTGGTGACTCCCTGACTCTAACTCTACATCATAGCTAAGGCTGAATGTAGATAAGCTTTTTTCAATTAGAAATGGAGGCTCAATTAAGCAGTTGCTCTTTGAAGCCTGTATTTATTTATTTTATTTTTTTTTAGGATTTTTTTTTACGGTGTAATCTCTCTTGAGCATTTATGTTCAGAAAAAGTTGTTCTGTAACAAATCAATAGCAATCAAAGCTATTGGTACCCTCTTTGATTTCGGTGGAAGCAGCAGTGAAGACTCTCAAGCAATTAAACAGCAATGAATTTCCACTATGTGATGAGGATAAAGAGCCAAAGCAGCTAGAGAGCTGAGCTTATGCTTTTGGGGATTGTAACTTTGATGTGGTAATTTACCTGTACTGTGGAGGAGGGATCCCTTCTGCCTCGCACTTGATGGTAGCCTGCTGGTCTGGGGAGTTGATCGGTAAAATGAGGTCACTGGGCTCTGTCCTCCATCTTGGCCCTTGAAATATGACATCTTTTGTACAGGCTGGGTGAGAGGGGAGAAAGTCTATGATAGTACAAGCAAGAAACAAACATCACCCTGACCTCAAGAGAAAATACTGGAAGAATTCAGAAAAAGCACAGATGCTATGAGGACAAATGGTTAATCTTGCTGAAGTACAGCAATGTTTTTGACACATAGTGTGTATTACTTTTTCAGTATACTATATGTATTGTCTCCTGTTCTTTCCACAGCAAAGAGAGAAGTGCATTAGGACAATCCCTGTGATGTATTGTGTACATTAATTGCTCATCTTGGTGTGAGGAAAGTAAATCCTACTTGAGCCTGCCCTTGTTAAGCATTAACTGCTAATAACCCGACACTTAAAATAACAGGAAAAAAAAAACTGACCATGGCAGTTGTGTTTCTCCTCCAATGTTGCATACACTGTCACTTTATCAACATGATAAATCAATACTGTAAGATATGATTAATCTTCCTTCTTCAAAAACACCCATGTAAAAATGCAAGTAAATAAAAATGCCAGTTTCATTATTGTATAAATATTTGTCAGGCTAAGGTGTTTGAGATGCCTTAATGCTTTTACACAGAGCTCACCTATACTGACTGATACACCCAAACTGTTCAGTGTTAGTTACATGCCAGGAACAATATCATACTGATAGATAATTATAAGTGAATAATAAAGTTGAGTGCTAGTGTTGACTACTGATGTAGAAAGCCAGTTTTTACATACTTCATCAGTATTTATTGTTTCCCTATAGGTGACAGGGTTGATAAATAAAGCAGAATGATCTATTCTCAGAACATCTATGTCAAAGTACACATGCACCGGTTAATGGAGGCCATAAGGATGCACTCATCTGCCAGAAGCTTAAAAGGAAAGGAGGTGGAACACAAGCTGGTACTAAATGAAAGCAGAGTCAACAGACGGCCAGAGTAGGCCTAATTAATATCCTACTGCTAACAGACTGCAGCATGCGGCTAGCAGTTGTACACCTGGTTTTAACCGGTTATAATATGTCAATTAATCGACACATATTTCACTGTGTTGAGGAACAAGACAGGACAACACTCTTTTCAAAAGACTGTTGCACAATGAGCTATTAATTAATGATCGACTAATTGGCTTCATATTGAATGCACTCAGCAATATTGTTGAACAGCCTTTCCCTAATGTGACTTTGAATAAAATATCATATAGTCTACAACACCTAGGGCATCAGTTTATTTCTAAAATGGAAAAGGGCTAGACAACATGTCACTTCAAATATCATGGCTGTGAGGGTTTCCAAGTGTACAATCACAACAATGAATAAGAACTAGTACCTAGTGTATAAAAAGCAACTAAAGCTATGTTAAAGAACACTTGTCTGCCGGTGAGACTGCATTGCTCTCTTGGGTACTGGGTGTGAATTACCCATGAGCCAATTTGAATAACATTCATTGGGATTTACAATGTCATTTGAACTAGGGCTGACATTCTCATAGAGTGTCTGTGCTTCTCCTGCTCGATTCCCAGGTGACCACACAAGGGCAGAATGAAACACAGTGGCAAGTAGATTGTGCTAAAATGTGAGGCTGGATTCATTACATGGGTCTTGATAGTGATGTGGAGAGGCCATAAACACGAATGGGACTGGACTCCAACTTGCTTATGGCAGTGTCCTAGGGAACAGTGGCAGGGCATCACATTGAAGTACTGCACATGTAATTACTGCAAGTTTATCAGTGTAACATTTTGGTTGGGCAACAAAGAAATGTTGTAAAGTCACTTACAATTGTTCTGATTTTGTCTCTTTCTCACAAATGGATGAAGCTCTATAAGCTCCGCTCACTAAACATGGGCTTCTATTTAAAACCTCTAACCTTAGAGACATGCATTTAGTTTGTAGAATGACACAAACAGAACAGTAATATTATTCTCTGGTGGATAAGCATTAGAAAACAGATGTTGTTGTGACATAAACCATGACAACAAGTGCAGTGCAAATAAAACATGTTAAAACATCTTACCTGCAAGGCATCCAGTGATTGATAGTAGAATAATTTGTCTCCATGGTAACATCATCTTTAGTTGCCAAGGGCTAATAAGACTCTCATCCAATTGCTTGTGAATGGAATGTTCTCCCTTGAATGCAAGAATTTTAATCTGAAGGAAAAGTAATTATGGATGTGATTAAAATATGACATTTTGATCTAAATATGACAAGTATCCACAAGCAAAAAAGATGATTATAGCACCAGTAAGTTACATAATTGGTTCTTATTGTTTGGGAGTTACTTTAAGCAAAGAGAAAGTGAATCTTGAGGAAGTGAGAAGCGACAGGGGAGTAACAGCAACAGACAAAAACTTGAGGATGCGAGCGCTGCAGCAGTGCAATTTTTAGGTGGCACCAAAGAAGAAGCAGCTGTTAAATGGATATGTTTTCTCTTACTGTGCCTGTTTTTCATCCTGCCTAACAAGCTCTATTCTGCAGCTTTAAAGAGATGTGAAGAAGGAACTGATTGACCTCAAAAGATACTTCTGTCTTCCTATTTGTCTATTAATAGGAGCTGGCAGACCGTGTACCACCACTCAAAATAATGCCACTTCATACAATTGAATGTAAGCAAACTGTTTTCATTTTTATACACATGTATCACATTCCCTTAGATCAACAGGAAATACAAGAAGGTCGCATGCTAATACAATATTATGATAAATATTTTAAATTTTCTTGTCAGCTATTAGTATTGACTGATATAGCAATGAACACTGTTAAAAGGACAAGAATTTTCTCAGCTTCTATCATTTCTACCAAGGTATTTATCCATTTAAAGGAGCAATCCAACAATTTTAGATATCAACATCTGTTTACTAGTTGGGTAAAATACAACTCAGCCTGTGAAATAGTTTGTTTTGAGGAGAATACTGTGTTGAGCATCAGTGCATTCATGACTAATGCATTATAGCACGGCAATTACATTTTCTAGTAACAAGAAGTATAAGAGGCTACATTTTGAAATGTAGTAATTACATTACAGTTACTAATCTCAGTAATGATGTTATATGACATTCTGTGGGTGGGCTTGTTGTCTTATTTGCCAGGAGATGGATTAGACATTTGAATATATTTATTTTTGAGACATGTTAGCTCAGCACAGGGAAGCAGCTAGTCTCTGCCAAAAGAGGCCAAAAGAGAAGACACCTTAACTCCAAACTTGTCTATCTTAGATAGTGGACACCTAGTAAACCTAAACTCAGGAATGACTTGGTTTTGATTAGAACTGGGTGGTGTGTGAATCACATAGCTTCAAAGAGAAGGTGGAGTATAAAGTGTCGTGTGCAGTGACTTGGGTCACAAGAGTGGCAAGAAGGGTGCTGCCAGGGTTGCACCTTGAACACGGGCCACCCCTGGGGCCCGTGTTCATGTTGCATGTTGGAACTACTGGGCTCAGAGGAGGTGGGGATGAGGAGGCTCTCAGACCTTCAGATATAAACCACAAAAGCATCTTATCATGTTCTGTTTTATTCTGATGAGCTAAATGTTGTGAATGAGATTGTGGATCATAACCAGGATCACATTCAGGCTGTAAGGTTACATAAATACAAATCTAACAAAATTGAACTTAAACAGTAATTTTAGAAAACATCCAAAACTTGTTGCATGTGAAAAACTGGACAGAATTTTGGCCAAACATTCATTTTATGTAAGGCAATATGCTGTATGTTATTTCCATGCAAATTGTATTGTAAACAAACACATGCTATGTAGACCCCCCTTACTGAAAATATGTTCCTGCACGCATGACTTGGGCTAATCAGCTGTAACTAATAAAAAGCAAAGTTCAACCTACTGCTTGTAAATGTGACAAAAAGTATTACATGATACTGTATGTGCAAATTCAAAACTCAAACTTAACTCAGTCACTGCTGCAAGTTGCTCTATCTGCCAGCTAGGCACTTGTTTGCTAACACAAAATAAAAAAATATAGCATACCATGCTAAATGAATAATCATGACACTAAATCATCTGGGAAATAATGAGAGGAAGGGTTTGTTTGCTGACTTTGTAAAATTCAACTACCTTTCAGTAGTAGCCTAATTCATGTGAGTCAGCAGAAGCGCTGCTAATAAACATAACAATATGCTACGTTGGTTTGATTCAAATTCATTCAGTTATTAAGTGATAGTTCTAATTTGTTGTGAAGTAACTTTCGAATGTTGCTTAGGATAGAAAGTTTGTGTTACAAACCGCATGGCAGAGTCAAGTAGCTTCTGGTTGCATTATGGGAATTGTAGTAACAAGTCAGGATTTCTCAGCTTCTGTTGCATTGATTTTGATCATTGTGTTTAATCTGTCTCTTGTGAGTTCTCCACATTTATTGAAACATGATATTAAAATGCCAGCATACTGTACCCCTTTAACATCAGATATCCCATCTAACTAGCGATCAGTGACCTAAATGGCTATTAAAACTTTCCTAATGTGGAGGTGGAACTGAGAGCTTTTATAAGTGGCACATGAAGGGCTTTGCTCAAGCTCTGACCTACATCACAGTAAGTGGAAACTGATATGCTCTGCAGGATTAAGAATTCAACCCAAGCTCTTCATCCTTACAACACAACCCTGTTGTGTGGATTAACCCAGGGCTATCTGTGGAATTCTTGAAACAGACCTAAATAGTAACCACCCAGTTGTTTCACAAATGTGTGACTCTGGATTGTTGCTGTGGTTCCATATGAAAAGCATGGACATATAATCTTATGTTGAGGTATGAAGAGCAGTAGAGTCTACAGGGTAGGAATTTATCTTTGCATTTTGCTTGATCATAACTTAAAGACCAGTGTTGCCTTAGTTCAACTGTCCTGGTGCTTCATGTGAGGTATCAGTGAGAATCAGGGTCGATTTCTTAGTGTCTTTCAAAATTTAGGGGGCGTATTACCACTCTAAAAACCCATCACATTGGATTACACGGTTTGAGAATCTGCTGTAGCAAAAAACTCAAACATTATGCTCCATTTTTCTGTTTGAGTGAGGCATTAACTTCCATCCTCTTTCTGGAGGATCCGACCTTGTCATCCCAACCCATCAGTCCAAAATGTTTCAAGATCGTGAGAAGACAAACTCCTTCAAAAGTCTATCTTTGCAAGTTGAGAATTACATAGTTCATGCCACATACTCTGCTGATATGATGGATGCTTGTCCCTGAGCAACATTTTCATTTCTAAGTGTTCTCTTTGTGTATTTGTTTCTGAATTAAAGGTTCATTAAAAGGCATTTTTATACATCATCTTTTCCAGCCATTGTGTAAGAAGTGTATGTCATCCTGCCTTGAAGAACCTTATTTTGAGTAGTCCGCTATTCAGTGGCTGTCTTTAGAAAGCTCAAGTGCCTCACTATGCTCCAGTAGCCTTTTCAGAGCGTTTTATGTGGTTAAAACTTAACATTCTAGGGAACACATTGAGTACCTGTCTTTTTTTTTCTTCTGAAAACAGAATTGTCTAAATTGAAGAAAGAATTATATCACTTTTGACCTTCAAAAGACTGCAACCGTGCCAAACCTTGCAGAGCTAAATATCGGCTGAAGCTTTAGCATATCCACGAGAAAAGAACAAAATAAACCGAAAACAACTCCTTCTGGGCTTTTGTGGCAGTGAAGCTGAGATGGCATTTTCATCTTGGGCTTTCTCAACTGAAATGATGAGCAAAAGATTGCTCTGCCAAATGTAATGAGGCATCACACTCTCACCTCCACAGAAGCTAAACCTAATGGAAGTCATTGGCTAAACGCATTCCAGAGTAAATGAGATGAGTTCTTGGTTAGTGGGTCTGTTGTTTGGCACATAATTGATAGGAGAGGTGGTTAAAGGCACCCCCCCACCCCACCCTCACCCCACCAAGGGCAGCATAATTGCAAAAGAATCTAATAAGGGAAAGGAGAGAGTTTCTGTTGTAGTGGTGTGCACACTCAAGGTCTGTATTCAGATCAGATGCGGTACAAAAGCAACACACAGCTTAGAAACCCACATATTAGATCATGAAAAAAAATGTCAGTGTCAAAATGGAACACCAGTGGCACAACTGGTATGAATACGCAACTCATTCATTTCCATTTAGTTATTGCCTTTATGACTATCTGCTGCCATCTCCATTAAACCATTCAGCAAGAGAACCTTGGAGACAGGGATCCACCACAAGGGATGGACTCAATCTGAATACACAGCTGCTCTGTGCTTTTGCCAGTGAATGAAGAATTCACAATCAAGTGTGCCCTGATGCTTTCTAATTTACTCTGACTGAAGACCTGCACAAGTCTATTCCACATTAGCCTGGGAGGATTTAAAAAACTGAGGTGATTAAGAAATGTACGCAGAGCTTACTGTCTGTATTTCATGGCTCAGGCTGCGGCGAAACACTTGATAAAATAAAAAGAAGAATAACTGAAATGAGTAATTGTTCATTATTGATTGCGCCTTAACTAATTATCTAAGGTGAGTGATTAATGCTTCCCATGGCAAATTACACATTATCGTTTCAAATAATGAGGCATTTCATGTAATTGCCCCCACAATGCAATCTGAACAGCAGTTACATTGACACTGACTGAAAGAACTGACTGAATGCATATTCTCACCAGACGTTTCTTTCATTTCAGTTCATCCTTGCAGGAAAAAGTAGCCACTTTATTAGTGTGACTGATGTGTCTGCTGTGCATGTAGAGTATGAATAGCGAGCATGATTAGAGTTATGGCTAAGATCAGCTTTGAATGAATATAACACTGAATATGAGCATGAGCTCCAACCAAATATGTCTGCTTGTAAGATTTGACTCAAGAGAAAGCTGCTAACATATAAAGATTTTCACACTAAATACATACAAAAAAAAAAATCACACTGACTTATAACCTCTTGGAACATCTGTTTACCACAGTATTACCAGATATTGGGGCAGGACACTCAGCAGACATTACACAACTGTGTATTTTCATGCAAAAAAAATCACTGAATCCCTGGAAGACAGTGGGATGCCCCTAGTGACTCCCTCCAGTGTTTAACACGGCCGCATCCCTTAGCTGCTGCCTAATGCAGGGACAAGAGAGTAAGTGCACTTAAAAGAGAGGGGTGCAGTGATCCATTTCTCAACCCCATCATCAGCCAGGCACATACCTTGATACGGCCACAAACACATGACTGGAGGTCAAAGATGAGGAGCAGAAGACACTCAGTCGGGCTCTTTACATATTTTTTATGCTATCCAATCCATTTCACAGCATTTTTGGAAAAAGAAAGTGAACTGTGCAATGTAATTGCCACTCAGGTTCAATCAGGAGGGGTTTTCGAAGCAAATGGTACTACAATCCCAACTCATCCCTGCACAGCCATGCTGGATATTGGTGTGATATAGAATAATTCACTGCATGGCTACAAAGGCATGTTTCACCTCTCATTTGGCTACTGCTTATTATTCTGAAAATATGTGCAAAGGATCTATAAATAAATATGAATAGAGCGGAGAACAGTTACAATCCCTGCTGAATAGTAAGGATACTTTGAAGATAGAGCAGCCTGAGCATTTTCCTCTCACTGCTGGGTCTGTCCTTTTTCCTTTTGCAGTCTTGGTAGAAGGGAAAGGGGGGGAAATCTTGTGTGCAGACCACTGATGGCCAAATATTTGCTTTCCAGAAATGAAATGAGAGTGAAGCTAATCTGCTATGATAATTTCTCTAATAACATTCCCGCTCCAACTATCATAATCTTGTCAGAATAAAAAAAAAAAAACTACACAAGTATCAGAATATTAAAGGACATTCAAATGCAATCAAATGACTATTTAGAAAATCTCCAAGAGCACCAAGTCTTTCCTCTGCAGGAAACAAATTATTGCCTTAAACAAGTTAGAGCTTTTTTCTAAGCGAACAGCACTGATGCCGTTTGTCTGTGTGACTGAGCAGAGCAACACCATATGGACTTTGTCCTAGATGAGGGAAATGAGCCCCAGCAGTAGAAATCCCAGTAGGACCATCCAAACCATTTGAGGCTCATCTAGAAATGCAGTAATCAGCATCATGCATGTGTGATCACTATCAGCACGCACAGCCTGTCTCAGTGCCCCTTTCAGAAACGCATCTCGCTGCAAGAATGAAGATGTTTTTTAGTTTATTTTTACTTTCTTCTGTGTCAAATTAGGTTGCATTTGCTGCTATTTTCTGATGAGGTAAAGCAAACTTAGCAGCACACAGTTCCTTACGCAGCCAAATTTAAAGGCAGAAAATAAGGTGCCAGCATGCTGATGATTTTTGACCAGATACTTACTTGTTCTAGGATGTAATTTTTTTCCTCTTCATTAAACTGCTTTGATTGTAATTCCACTCTCCGTTAGATGTGATATTTCTGGTACCATTGAGCGGATAACATTTTTTCACAGCAACTCTTGTACACTTGTACACAGCCAAAGAAGAGGTTGCTCTCTGCTCCAGCACTGTTTGCGCTCTTCACTTAATTGTGCTTCGTCTAAGTGCGTCTCTTGGTCTTCGAGGATGGGACTAGCAGTAGCCTCTACCTCGATAAATTCCACAATTAATGAGTGAATATTCTGTCTGAGGGTGGTACGCGTTACGCCGAGAGGTTCCTCGAGCTCCGGGTATTACACTCCACAAGATGCGGCCAAGAAGCAGAGAGGACAGCGATGCCTCTGAGCGGAGACTTACACTGTGCGCATCCCCGGGCTCTGCTCTCTTTGTGCGCAGGAAGAAGCGCCCACTGGTGACGCGTGAAAACACCCATCGCAGCCCAGTAATGCGCCACCAGCCTATGAGCACCTGCCATTCCTCTGCTTAAGTGAGTGCACATTTAATCTCGGGATACTCATCGCTATGCTGAAAAGAGATCAAGTGGACAGATCCAAAAATATTCGGTTTTGAAAAGAGAAGGAAACACTCTGGAACATTCTGAAAACGAACTAAATAATTACCACAATAACCAATCAATCAACATGGAATCTGATTTAGTCAGTGAAAATGTTTTTGCAGCGTTTCGTGGTGAATTTATGCAAGGTCTTTGCAGTAATTGTGAATCGCGGTTGCAGATCAATAAAAGCAGGTTAGAGGTTGGATTAAAAAAAAAAGTAATGTGCATTAATAAAGATAACCGTGAAGATGATTGTATGATGCTTATACATCGAATCAGTAATCAAGAATCGCCTTTATTAGATGTGGAATGACCCTACATAGCAGCCAGAATCGTGTGAGAGGATTTCATCCTGAAGCATTACTGCACTTAAAAGTAGCCTACAACACTACAAACTGTGCCGTAGAGAACCACGCAGACAGGTGCTTTAGTGCCTTTGGTCTATAAATATAATGTCACCCAATTTAAATTGCATTGTTTTCGTGATGCAACCATCCGAAATCTCACAGTTTTTTTCCCCCACAACTCTCTTAAAAAGTCTTAGTTTGTCTTAGTGGCATTCAAACATATGTTTATAATGAACACTTTTGTGAATGATATTAGATTCTTGTTACTATTCACATCTGAGACAATAATAGATTGTTGTTCTGCCCAAGCAGATTGACCCACAGGTTCAAAAAATATGCCCTCATTGTAAAGAAAAACACAGACCAGATCCTCTTTGTTTGAAGCTGCACTCATCAATAACTTTATATTAACACTGGATTCAATTACTATATTTTAATGTGAAAAGAACTGAAGTCAAAGACCCACAGTGAAGTATTAACCAGGGACAATGGAGATGAAGATTCGTTTTTATCTGTAATTTAGAAAAGGTGTGTTACTAGTATAGGTAAATGGTTAGCATGCTCTGAATAAACACTTTGAAAGATTTCTTGTGCCTAAAATAAAAAGAATCTGTTAGAGTCTGTCAGAGGACACCCACTCTTTGAAACGTGTGCATGATAATTGTCCACTTCACTGGAAAAAAAATCTCAGTTCCCTTAATTGGCTTAGTGTTTGCCTGACTTGTGTCTTTTCATTGCGACTTAGTTCCTCCCACTGAAGTCAAGAAGCGAGATGCAAAGACAAGATGTGTGGGGAGAGGAAACAAGGCAATATGTGTTTGGAGAAATGAGACGTCCGTTCTTCTGAAGACGTTTGCTTCTAATGACAGCGACTCAGCTGGATACGCCGTCACTCAGCTTTGTTCTATAAAGTGTTTAACAGACATCTGTGCATTTATTAAAACTCTGCATTCTGCATGTATACTGTGCTCAGACCAGTCAAACCACTCTGTGAGTAGCCTGCTTCACTGGTCAGAGGCCATGTGCACCTCTAATGGCAGCGGTGCATTCTTTTCAGCGTAACAATTGCTTGCTTGTGCATTCATTGATATCCTATTTGTGAACTCATTATTCAGGTTATCGTTAGCATGTTTTAAAGTGTTTTGTAGAGATCATGTATTAGCCTAAATGTTTTAGACAAAGTGTAAATTGTGCAAATATCACACCAAACTCTTTGTACCTGACACACAGATTTTCAGTCTCACATGCGGCTGACTGGAGAGGAGGATAGACAATTAAAGGTGTTGGTGAACAACATCAGACTCTCCTCCTGGATATAACATTACAGATTCAAATAGATTGAAAGGTTAAATAATAAAATATCTAGCAGAAAAGAATCTTACTAATGAATGAAGAACGTTGTTAATGATTCTTTTGTCAGTCAAACTGATCCATTACTTTTAACCAGATGGTGAATTTGAAAACAAAGCTACATTTCCTTCAGTGTGATACAGTGACACTGTTGGTGCAAGGCCTAACAACACTGAGGGCTGCAAGTGTTAGCAAATTAGACTGGGCAGTGCAAAAAAAGAAACGTGTGCAGAAGTAGCTAACAGACCTATAAACAGTTGTTGCGTGTGAGGATGAGGAAAGCAGCGCAGAGGCAGAAGCATCAGAGAGGAATGAGCAGCTGCTGTACCAATGACAGTTTGTTGTAAGTTTGATTATTATGCTGTCTGTCACCTCTAGCTAAGTGGCTGCTAAGTGTAGTCAGTGCAGACCAACATAAACTCAGAAAGTTAACACTATATTTCTGCAAACTGCAAAAAAAGGGACTTTGTGTGTCAAATGATGTGGAAATTTGTTCTCTCCCTTTAAAAAAACAACAATGGGCTACCAATTTCTCTGTCAGTATAGTTTAAGTATTTCTTATAGAAGACCTATCAGGTCTATTTTGCTGTAATCTTTCCAGCCCAGCAGTAAAAATTCTCTCTGTTAAATAGTATTGATTGTATAATATGAACACATGTGAACATGGCACTGGAAAAGAAAAAACTGAAGGATGGAGGAGGAGGGAGAAGGAACAAGTACAGATCCAATCACAGGTGCACTACTGGATTTCTGTGTGACAGAAATAAATCAATGTATGTGATCAGGTTGGACTGCTCTTCAAATGTTATTTATCATTGCATTACATGAAATAAAACAAATGCCCTGTTTTCTGCATAATACACCAGACATGTAGTTGTCTGTATTAAGGTTGTTTGTTCATTCTGAACATAATGACTATAACATATTTGCTGCTCGTGAGACAGAGCCCAGCACAGTGGTGAGAGAGAGGAGAGGGGAGACAAGGCCTCAGACTATAATGATGAGCCGAAGGCAGAGACAGGTCTGAATTATTTCACACAACTTCATTCAAAAGAGAAGGACATGTACAGAACATATACAGTAATGTATGTGTATACAATGAAATCAGGCAGGTAGCAGAGTAGGATTGCTTTTCACCACTGTCTTATACCAAGGATATAGTGAAGGACTCAGACCTGTACTGATCACCCTGTTAGCCATTATAGATGTTATGTTTTTACTTTCTGAAACAATTATTTCTACCAGCATGAACATGAAGATCACACATGTACAGGTCTTTGTGCTACGCTGTGATCCTTCTCGTCAGTGTTGATTCCAGCAGTAGCATGTGGCAGTGATCAGCCAAAAAGCTTTGACAAAGCCAGTGTATGCCATGTATCCAGCACCAAACAGTGGACAAAATGCCTTTAGTGACTAGCTGGAGACACTGTCAAGCATTTAGCGGCTACAGTAACAGATGCCTCCCTCAGGGGGTGGTAGAGAACAAAACAAAGCAAAAAAGAGGCTAACAGTGAGGCCTGAAAAATTACATCATACAGCCCATTCCTTATTTAATCCATCTTAATATGTTGTGTATATTCTTGATATATACACTCACCATCCACTTTATTAGGCACACCTGGATAATTGTATGCAACTCAATACAACACTTCCACCTTAGCATCTGTGTTTATGAAGCTCAAAATGTTGTACTGCAATACATTTTATTCAGAGGTGTCTCCTCTGTCCTCCCCAGCTACATACACGAGGGTCAGAATATTAGGAACACCTCTGAATACAAAGTAGTCCAGTACAACGCCACCTTTAACTATGACCTCAATAATAAACATATAATTGAATTTATAAAATTATGACATTTAACCAAAAGCTGAAACATTTTGAGCTTCATAAACACAAATGTTAAGGTGGAAACTGTTGCACTGAATTGCATATAGCTGCGCAGGTGTACCTAATAAAGAAGCTGGTGAGTGTATGTTTAGGGAAGCCAACCAAACCAATAGTGATAGTGACCATGACTGTGACCTTACAGCCTTAATTTCAGTTGATATAATGTTGTCTGTGTCCAGCTAGCCCATATAATAGTGGAATCAAACTTGTGAAGCTCATTAATATTACATCTTAATAACAATAAAGCTTTCATTTAATGTTTTTTTTAGCTCCAACAATCTACTGGATAGTCAGTAATTCTTATATTGTCAGCCACTGTGAGAGTCAGTGTCACCTTTTGTTAAAAGTGATTGTCTCATTTTCAAAACTCTTCATAAGATGTGCCAGTGATTCTCTTTCAAGCCTTGAAAGATGCATTTATCGAAAAAAGAAAAGGAAAGGAAAAACAGGCCAAGAAAAAGGATAGCAGCAGACATTCAGCCTTATGTTTTACCAACTGTCACTCATCACAGTAAATAAATCTCCTTATTGCCACGTAGATAATAGCTGTTAGATTTATCTGGTGCAATCCATTTGATTGACTTAAATATTGAAATGATGGCATTATGAATATTTAATGTGTCTGGGCACAAGAGAACTCCAGGGGGTTTTCAGAGAGATTGATGGAAAATACAGAGAAGGTGAAAAATCATTAATTCAGGTCATTTGGTGTCTTATTGGTTGAGAAATGATGTGTAGGAGTGGGAGGGGGTGTGTTTGGAAAAATGACAGTTCACTGTCAGCAGTCGCTACATACACTGCCACTGCAGATAATCTACATTCATCCACAGCCTGTGGGACTATTATGCACCTGCAGGCAAGCATCAGTTTCAGAGAACGCAAGTCCTGCTAAAGTGTCCTGGAGCAACACATTGTACTGTAGTTCCACCAAGACTAGAGCTCCTTCAAAACTCAGTCTTACCCAGTCTTACCTGACCTCCCTGCGTAAGGAGCAAAAGAAAATGAATGTTCTCTCACATGTTGATGTTGCATTGTATTCACCTGTGAATTTGCTAGACCAGCTTTAAAAGCTAGACCTTACAAAACAGATGTCCCAAATTCATGTGATGTGCATGTTATCACACTTTACAGAGTATGGTCATATATTGTCTCTGTATCTCATATCATGACAGAAAAGATTATAACTTGTCATCTTTTCTAATCCTCTGCTGTTTTTGCTTTCTTTTTACAGGCTCATGGCATTGTACAATGATAATACACAATTAAATGGGTGAGCAACATTGTACGATGATAATACACAATTAAA